TAGTCCTTACTTCTCCTTTTTGGGAGGCCTGGCCCATGTTTCCAGTTGGGAGGGGGGTCCTTATGGGGAGAATTGGGGGAGGTCAGGCCCAGGCTGGGCCGGCAGGGTCAGTCCTGTGACTCGTGGGCCTGGAGAATTCCCCCCTCTCTCCCCACCAGGCTTCTTCACAAGGCCCCCATTGTCCAGGAAAATCACGCCATTGTTTCCTGCCTGTGCCCCCTCAACCAGCTCAGGGACTCCCCACCACCCCAATCCGGCAGACAGAAACTCAGGCCTAGGCCTGGGGTCTGGGAGGTTAGATGCCAGGCTCAGAAAGGCTGAAGGCACCTTGCCTGCCCTTTACCACAACAGCTCAGACTCTGAGAGGGAAGCAGAGGTGGGGGGGCATGCACAGGAGGGGAGCAATCCCTGATTCCTTCCTCTCTGGCAACCCCCCTCCCAGCTCTTTCCTCCCCTGCAGGCAGCTGGGCTAGGGAGGGAGCAGGGGCAGGAAGCCAGCCCAGGGGCAGCAGGAAACACAGGAAGCTGTGGGGAGGGTGGGGAGCAGGAGCCTGGGCTATTGTTCCATTTTTTTCTGGAAAGAAAACGGAGGAAAAACAGAAGATGGGAGCCCCCACCCCATGGCCCTTTGGGGGAATCCCCCTTAGGCTAGGGCAAGTAGTGTATTTGGGGGCAGAGGGGGTCTCTAGATTGTTAGGGCCCAGGGATAAGGCTGAGAGGTGGGAACTGCCCTTTATCATAGATGGGGGGCGGGCTAGCAGGCCTCCTCTGACCCTTCCAACTCTGGCAAGGACTTGGATATTAGTCCTGGTGCTCTGCTCCCCACACCCCTGGTCCATGGTCAGCCAAGGCCTGGGAGCTCAAAATATCCATGCTGGTCTCTTCCAAGAGTCTCTGTGCCTTTCCAATGACCCCACTGAGCCTGCCCCCACCCCTACATTTCTACTGTCTCCAGCCTGAGCCCTGAGCTCCAGCAGGGCCTGGCCCCTGTGCTTCTCCACCCCATTTGGCCTCTATGTCTTTGCTCATCGGGCTCTTCCTGGATACTCAACTAGATGCTTTCTAAATGCTGCCTGCTCTGGCCTGGTGGGAAGTTTGCCTGCCTCAGGATGTCCCCTGAACCTGTCACTAGTGTAGCTTGGGCCCATGATGGGTAAGCATGGTGAGGGTCTGAAATGGCTGGAGATAGTCTCCTTTAGCCAGGAACTCCCACTCCAAGTGTGGATTCCAGGCTGGGCCCTGCTGCTCATCCTGTCTCCTATGCCCATGTCCCCTCCAATGCCCATGTCCACAGCTGAGGACTCACTGTCAGGCATACCAGGGCTTGCCCAGGCTGTTAAGTCATTTCAGCCCCTGGTCACTCCCTTTTCAGAGAGGCTGAAATTGAGGCTTTGAGTTGAAATAACCAGCCAGAGGCCATGCAGCTAGGGAATGGGGCCAACATTTCAATCCCTAGGAAGCCTTGACCTCAGAAGTCGGGGGCTTCCCCTGAGATCTATTTATTGGAGGAGCTGCTCATTAAGAGGGAATGGAAGGGGTGAATAGACCAGCAATGCCATGAATGTGGTAACCTCAGGGAAGGGGCAGATAAGGACCACTAGCCTCTAGAGGACTTCCTTGAGATGGTGGCCACAGTTAGGCAGGATGCTGATGGCCCACCTAAGAGATCTGAGCTTTGTAATCTGCCCAAACTGCATCTCCAGGCTGGGGTCAAGACTCCTTCAGGGGCTGGAAGAGGAGCACTCTGCCAGGTGTGTGGATTCCTGTTTTGGAGTCAGTACAAGGCCACAGGTACTTATGGTCAGCTGGACTCCCCTGGGCAGGAGCTCCAACCTCCAGCAGATCCCTTGTGAAATGCAGCTGAGGACTGGGAGGGGATCTGTGCCAGGGCCATGCCACCCTCCAACCATGCCCCTGGAAACTCACTGTTGTTGGACTTGAGGTCGCGGTGGATGACAGGTACCAGGGCCTCACAGTGCAGGTAGTGCATCCCATGGGCAATCTGCACAGCCCAGTTGACCAGCACATGAGGGGGAACACGCCGCCCAGCCAGGGCACGGCTGAGGGGCCCCCCAGCTGCATACTCCATCACCAGGCATAGATTCGGTTCCTCCAAACACACAGCTTTGAGGGCAATGATGTTAGGATGTGCCAGCATGGCGAAAAGCCGGGCCTCCTGGCGAACACTCTCAGCTGTCACACTGATGTCCTCATCAGGGTCCTGGCGAGCTGCCTTCACAGCCACCAGCTCCCCTCTCCAGCTGCCACGGTAGACCTTGCCGAAGCCACCAATGCCAATCACTTCCTCCAGTCGCAGCTCCTGGAAGCTGGCCACCTCGCAGGGGGGCGGGCCGCCACCCCGAGACACATAGTTGGATGGAAAGATGCCCACCTGGCCGCCTACCTGTCCTGCCCACCAGCCTTCATCTCCTGAGATGGCTGCATCCCGAGATAGCACCTCCACACGGTCGCCCTTCCTCAGGGCTAGCTCATCCTGCCCACTGGGCTCATAGTCGAACAGGGCTGTCCACACGGGATTGGCATAAGCCGCTGCCTTTGGGGACCCATCTGGCCGGGCCCCGCCACCACTCCCAGTGCCCCCACTGCCACTGCCATTCCATGACCCCAGAGGGGTCTTGAGGAAGAGGTTCTTCAAGGGCTCCATGGCCAGGAGCCAGCGTTGGAATGTGTGGGGGAACTTCTCTGGGTGCCTATGGTCCCCACCCCTGTTGGTTGCTGAAGCCTCAGTACCGGAACCTGGGCATCCGGGCTCTGGCCCTCAGCCCCAGACCCACGCCTCTCTGGGGAGCCAGGAGTGTCGCCTCCCGGCCCCCCGCATCTCGGGCTTCCTGAGCAGGGCACCTACAGCAGTGTGGTCAGGCTGGAGGGGTGGGGCCTTGGGGCCTCCTAAATCTCACCATGGCTGGATTGGAGGGGCCTTGAGTGCCCCTTGGTCCTGGAGTAGTCCTAGAAGGCTGGCTCTGGCGCCAACCAAGTGTAAAGTGGGGCCTGCCGGGGGCAATGCCTGGATTCCTGACGGATCTTTATCCACAGAGTGTGGAGGAAGAGTCCCCACTTGGGCTGAAGTTGCCTCTTCCTGGCCCTGGTGCCTTTGGCCCGGACGGCTCGGATCCGTTCCCTTCTTCCTCCTGCCTTTGTACTTTGGCCCCGGGGGCGGGAGGCAGAGGTGGAGGGTGGAGTTTCACTTTTTTCCGCTCTTCTCCCTCCAGCAGGAAACAGCATCAGATGACGCGGGCGGGTTGCACCGCTCCCCTCCCGGAGGAGGCTCCAGCGGCTGGGGCCGGGAGTTCCCAGGGAGGCGGGCCAGGAGAGGCAGAGGAGGACAAGGTTAGCCCCACAACCCCCATGACATAGGCTTTGGGACCTAAGAAGAAAAGCTCCAGGCTGAGTGCTCTGCTGCTCAGGGTCGAAGTTGGTCTCTGTTAAGGACGGACTAGCCTTGCCCACTGGATCTGAATCCACATTTGCAAAGAGGTTATAAAAGCCGTGCTTGGGAGGGCAGCAAGCCCAAGAATGGCCTTGGTTACAAAGCTGCAGGGTGGTGTGATGCATTTCCTCGGTTTCATTCCTTTCGTATTTGAAATAGGAACAAGTGGCTCTGCTTTGCAAAGCTAGTGAACTGCAGGTGGGGAAGACTGTAAGACAGACGGAACCGGCTGCACCTCCAAGCTCTCTGGAACAGGCTCTTCTGCACTTCCTCCCCTCATCTGGGAAATAACCCGCTTCTTCATGTTCCGTCCTCAGCGGGTGGAAAAGTCAGACTGTTGTCCAGAGTATGCTCAAAATTGGATTTAGAATAGCTGAGTCACTCACAACCGCTGAGTAACGTTGACACCTACTGCCTCAAACCTATCACTTTAAAAAAGACGATACTATCCTACTCAACTATACCCGCCTGTTCCGCAAGATCGCTCTCTACACATTAGGACTGAGTTCTGACCCGGAAGTAAAAGCAGATCAGGGCGAGGGATGCTCGTGACGTAGGGGATAGCAATAAAAGGGGTGGCCCGAGAGGTTTGAGCCAGGGCAGAAATTTTAGTTCAGCCTGGTTCTCAGTCCAGTTCACGCCTCCAAGTTTTCCCCGCCTCCTGCAACTCACTGGAAAAGCTTTGCGTCAATCAGTCAGCCACTACCCAATGGCTACTCAACTCTCCATTCGGTTCCGCCCAGTTGTCCGATCTCCACCAGATTGGCCTCACCTGGACACGCGCATGCGCTCAAACGCTGCTCTTTCGGACTTCTTTTGACCTGGACTGCGCACGCCCACTGGGCACCCCCCTTCAGTCTCGCGGCTCCTTCACCTCTAAGCGCTTGCGCACTAAGGCAGTTAGCTTTTTTTTTTTTTCCTTTTCCGGGTCCCAACTGGGTCTATCGGGCGCATGCGCCACTTCAGGCTGGTGGCTCGCGGCTCCTTCCGGCCTCCTCCTAGGGCCGGTACCGGCAAAAGAGGGGCGAGCGCAAAGCCCTGAGCCATTGGCTTGAGACCCAGGGAGTGGACCTCAGGGTCCCAGGGCTTTCCCCGATCCGGAACCGAGGAAGCCGTTGCTTGTATTCCCGGAGC